AAAAAAATCATATTTCCGCCTAAAATTTTTTTTGGCCATCATTTCCACGTAAATCTGAAATAAATAAGAGTGAGAATTAATGTGGTCCATATAAAAAAAAAAAAAACAGAGAGAGAGAGAGGAAAAAACGTGGTCCCTAATTGCCACTCGAATTTAATTGTTTTGTTGCTTTCGCACAGCTTCGCACCCACCAGTGATGCGCATGCTAATATCTTATCCCTCGTGAAATTGGATCCGAGGTAATATCTTTGATTTTTAATATTAGTTTAAGAATATAAAAAAAATTAATTAAGTTGATTATTTATCATAATAAATATATGGTAGTCTTTCTAAATTATAATGTTCAATTATGTGTATTACATTATTAGAATAATTCCGTAGAGAGAACTCTTTGCAATAAATGGGAATATTTTGAAGAAACATAGAATACAAAGGATTGCGATCTTATATTTAAAATTAAATTTAACTTATTAACTAGCTTTTATATTAAAGACGGAAATTAGTATCATTTCATCTTCTTATTAGAAGGCATTTTTTTAAAATGAATGATTAGTCATTACCATTAGTCATCATTTAAAATTTGGTAATATTATTTTTCCTTTTTCTCCTTAAAATGTATTTTTTTTTTATTTAGACAATTTAACATACCCTTGCCTGGAAAGAGAGGGCACTCCTTAAAATGTAATCCGTAGTTTTGAATAAGTAGAATTTTGAAATTTTTTTCCTTAATTTTAGGGAAGTGGCTGACAGCGCTTTATAAATAACTTATTTTCCGAAGCCATTGTGAAATTCCGATATTGCCCAATCAGCTAAGGGTATTTAAGTCTTTTCACGTCAAAAGGATTTCTGCACCTTATCCCAAAATTTATTTGCCTTTACTGTGCATTGGCCGGCTCTCCCTGGCAAATTAACATTTCAACTAACTTCTCAGGGTCTCCATTGCATCAAGTACCAATATATGGTGAGGTCTGAGAGAAAATAAATTACTTTTTTTTTTTAAAAAAATAAAACTAGCCTTTTTGCCAACTTTTGCAAAACTAGTATACTGTTTATAATTTATGAATAATGCAGATTTTTATTATATGTGTATTGAGTTCATGATATTACTACCACGTGTCTTCATCCTTTACATGCCCTAAGGCCTATGGACACGTGGAAAATGAAGGAGGGAAGAGCCAAAGAAGAATTTAATGAATTCGATTTAAAAAGTTAGAGAATTGACGTTATAAAGTTTTAATAAAAATAAGGTGTTGGATGAAAGAGTAAAAAATATTTAAAAGCTTTTAATCAATTTTTTTAATTAAATTCATTAAAATTTTTATTGTTTTTTCCTTGCCTCCATTTTCTTCGTACCAAACACACTTGTAAAGTCTTCAACTCATATAAATCCTGGAGCAAATTACCAATAAGTTTTTTCCTAATGAATTTTAGGATATAGAACTTGTTTGGAATAGTAATAAGTAGTTTTTCAATCGTGACTTATAAAATATGAAATAAATATATGAAGAGAATTTTATCTGTGCTTATAAGCCCTTAACAAATGCCAAGTAAAGCGGACACCTAATCAGATGATTAAGCAGCAGGAATTTTAAAATTGATCCTAAAGTAAAGGTAAGAATCAATCAATTTTACTGCTTAAATATTACTATTACCTCTGAATAACTTGGCTCCAAAAAAAAAAACAGTTTCGAACAAGTTAAGCAAAACATTTGAAGCAATAAAATCTTGAATATCATTATAAGAATAAGTATATTTTTTGTGTTATTTTGCATGAGAACACTAGTTTTTTTTTATATACTATAAATTGTATAAAAATAGAAACGTTTTATCAGTTTTTAATTGTGAAAAATAGTGCAATAATTTTCAAATCTTAACATAGATTAATTAGGATCTATATTGACTGTTGAAGATATTTGTAAACAAATTTGAAACGACATTTAAAAAAAATTTAAAAATGAACTTTTTAATCGGAAGAATAATAGAAAAGGAAAAAGAGAAGCAGTTAGGACTTGGGACAATGAGCGGGAAGAGTGGGAGGAGCAGAAGTGTCAGAGATTCTGACATCCCACAGATGCAGAGAAAGAGAGCTCCCTAAAAAGCACAAAAAAGAGTTTCTGCAACCATTTTTTTACTGAAAATTTTCTTTTTAATTATAATGTATTTTTTAAATTCTATTTATAAAATATTTTCAACATATTTCATATATGTTAAAAAAAATTTTAACTACATTCAATTTTATTTAAAATATAAAATTTTTTAAAATTTATTTCTAATTGTTATATATGTCTTTAAAAAAATAAATATTTATATTATAATAAATAAAAAATAATATAATACATTCATATTAAAAATTTAATAGGATGACTTAAATAAAACTAAAAAAACAATCTTCACTTACCTTATAACAGGACCATAGGAGTAGACAGTTACAGAAATTTTTTTTTCCGTATCACTATACCATAAAATTTTCAGTTTCATACCATTAAAAATTTAAAATATAAGATTATTGAGGAAAAAAGAAAGTAATTTATTTTTACAAAACTAATTGTACTACATGGATCAGAGCACCCTTAAATTTAAAGTAAAATAATAATGGAGTAAAATAACACTACCTTCTATCCTGACTAAGAAAAATATACAAGCAATTTTTTTGGGTCAAAACATACAAGCAATTTAATCATGTAAGAATAGCACAAAGATAACTTTGAAATTATTAAATTTTAAATTAATATTTTAACAAGTTTTGACAACATTAAGTTTACAAATAATAATACATTTTTATCATTCAAGATGCACTAGTATCAAACTTTTTTTTTTTTTTTGATGCTGTTTTTTTAATCATTTCGATTCAACTATTTCTTAATAAAAATATCTTAATATATAATTAATAAAAATTATAATTTTGAGAAACAAAGTGAAACGGAATTTTACTATTACTAAAATAATTCTTTTGATTAAGTTTTATATTTAACATCGAATGGACTACCACTAGTTAATAACAATGCTTCTTCTTTTTTCTTGAAACAATTAATAACAATCCTTTGGTTACATGTAAAAAATTTGATTATTCCTTTTTTTAATAAAAATTTTGATTATTCCTAAAAATAAGACAGAGAATAAAAGAGTAAGAAAAAATATTTACGAGGGAAAAATCATAAAAATAATATTTAACCTTCATAGTCCATAAATTGTAACATAGTAACACTAGTAGTAGTAGTAATAATAATCAATGGTTCAATTTTGAATTTGTGGTCCTTGAATGTGGTTGGGACCATCTTAGGCACGTGCATCACAAATAGTTATTGGTTCATTGTCAAGCCTCATTTTGACCGCTTCACCGTTCTACTGATCTTCACATATTCTCTTACATTTAGTATACTCTGCTCAGCTCTACTATTATTCCGCAGACCTATCTTTTTTTTTTTTAATTCATGCTTACTTGTTAAAAACAAATAAAAATTATTTATCCAGTATTTTAAGATAATTTTAAGATCTATTCAACATTCTAAACTATTTTGTGACTCATTTAGTATTTTAATTTTTTTTTTCAGATACGATTAGCACCCGAAAGTATTTGTAGTGTAATTTTTTCCTTAAAATATTTAGAAGTTAGACACATTTGAAAAAATAATTTACAATTATAAATGAATCATGAAATTCTTTAGATTGTTGGACAGGCCTAAAAAATATTTTAGAATTTTGGATCAACATTAATGCATAAAGATTTTATCTATAACATCTTATTATAAAAAGTTAGTGTGAATATTAATTCCAAAGATTCCTGGTTTATATTTTGAATTTTGCAGAATAAAACAATATCAGATTAAAACTTCAAGATTTTTTTTTCCCAAAAAAGGCCATGTGGTTTGTTAAATTCAAACATAAAAACAAGGACTGAATTTTCTGAATAGCCTTTACTTTTTGTCTCATGCTTGTTTTGATATTCCCCAATGATGAATATATTGAATAAAAGACATCTCGGTGCAGTACGTCTTTACCGTGCACTGCGAGACATGTGATGTTTACTTACCATTTGAATTTGAAAAAGTCTTCGAGATGCGAGGGTTTTGTACAGTGCGGACTTCCCCACGCGCTCGGCGCTCGTTCATCTGATCCCGACAACCACGTGGCTGACATAGGATGGATGTTACCGATTGGAACCCTGCGTTTCAGGCAATTTAATTTCCACTGTGGTAAATGCTTCCCATCATAACTCCTACTCATTTTTGTTGCAAATTCTGTATAGGTTAATGGGGTTAATACTCTCAATTACACACTTAATAAACTTAAATTATTACCTGGTTTTTTATTTATTATTCTAAAATTTATAATTTTTGATGATAAGCTCAAAGATTCAAGACTTTTTGTTCAGAAGTTAAATTTGCACCAAATCACTTTGTGTTTCTTAAAGAAATAATGCATTCTATTGATGATTTTCTTTGACTGTCGGGACTTATAATTTTTAATCTTTTGGGTTTAAAATATTTAATTTTTACTTTTTTATTTTTATTTTCATCAAATAATAAAATAGTTATTACCTGGTAGCGATATAATTTTTTTATAAACAGACATACTAATTATTTCTCAATTTTAAAGCATCAATTTACGTTGCATACTGCTATAAAAATTATAGTTCAGAGTTTAAGTTTAATAATTAGTTCTGGAAATTTTTTTTAATAATTAGTGTTATTTTTTTAAATCTCTTAAAAGTTTTCATATACTTTATAAAATATTTTGCTCTCATTTTTCACCTGAAACTAAACATTTTTCAAAAATTTTTATGCCCATTCAAGTTCCGAAGCACAGCTCTCTACTTAGCCCAGAACAGAGATCTCAAATCTCATTAGAAGCAGTTTGGCAGTTGAGTCCTTCAAAAAACCTCTCAAACATTCGCAAAAAACGATCCAACGGTCACCGTTCCATCAGAAGTTGCATGATCAATATTATTCCTTCGCTTTATGAGACTGCTCTTTACTACCTATCTACCTCTGCAACTTCCACTTCCCATCCCCTGGTTTTTTGCCCACAAGAGTGAGAGAGAAACCAAGAAAACCCGGAAACAGAATTGTTTTCTGAGCTGAAAAACAGAGCTTGTTGCTTATCTTCGGCCGTTTCAATCCAAATCCATTAATGGGTTTTTCAGCTCTTGTCCTTCTCTTCTCTCTCCTGTTCTTTCTCTCTCACCCAGCACGGGTCTGTGGGAATGCAGAGCTCAGAGCTCTCATGGACATGAAAGCTGCTCTTGACCCAGAAAGCCGTTTTCTTTCTTCTTGGACTTCCCATGGGAATCCATGCGGCGGTTCTTTTGAAGGAGTGGCTTGCAACGAGAAGGGTCAAGTTGCCAACATTTCCTTGCAGGGGAAGGGCCTCTCTGGGAAGCTGTCGCCCGCCATTGATGGCCTCAAACACTTGACAGGGCTATACTTGCATTATAACTCTCTCTACGGTGAGATACCAAAAGAAATCGCCAACTTGGCTGAGCTCTCTGACTTGTATTTGAATGTGAATCACTTCACTGGGGAAATCCCAACTGAGATCGGCAATATGGAGAACTTGCAAGGTAAAAGAGGATGTGTTTTTTGTTAAAAGGGGTTGAACTTCTTTCAAATGTTTGTTTTGTTGTTGAAAGCTTTTTTTTCGGTGAATGTATTCAAGTGTTTCTCTTTTCGTCTGGGTTTCACGAAAGATTTGGGCTTGGTCCTGGGTATTTATTGAATCATAAAGTTTCTAATCATGTGATTGCTTTCTAACTTCTATTGTTTTATGTACTTTTGATTGGTACATTAAACTCTTGCCCTGGAGTTTTCCAAAGATGGTTAGAGTTCATAGAAGGAAAGGTGAATAAAGGAAGATAATTATTGCGGTTGATACTACGGATCAGAAATTAATGCCTCTAATCATGTTAGTTAACGCTTCTAAATTAAACAAGATTATAAAAGTCTTGTTCTTTTTTTTTTTTTTTTGGGTTGGGTCTGGCTGCAAGAGGGAGGTATAAAGTAGTGAACCTAACAGCAAGTTTTCACTTTGGTGTTTATTTTTAATTATTTTGTATCTTTTCTTAAGATCAATAATTTTTTTTTTTTGGCCAAATTAAGACTGGATTCAGCAAGATAGGTAAGTGACATGCAGAAATTTTGCTTTCTACTAGAACCTAAACACTTAAAATCCGAAGATAACGATCACGAACCTGCTCTATTCAGGTTCAGTGTTTGTTCTTGACTTCTTGTAATCAAAGTTCTTGAACTCCAATATTCATTGAAAGCATAAACTTTTTTCAGGAAAATAACTGTTACTTGATGGTGATTCAATTTTGGGTCATGCTTAATTTTTCTTTCCCTTTGCTTCGCAGTTTTGCAGCTATGCTATAATCAATTGAAGGGAAGCATACCAACTCAGCTTGGTGGTTTGAAGAAGCTTAGTGTTCTTGCCCTGCAGTCAAATCAATTAACTGGTGCTATCCCAGCTAGCCTAGGCAACTTGGGAATGTTAACGAGGCTGGACCTGAGCTCTAATGGCCTATTCGGTTCCATCCCCTCAAAATTAGCCGATGCCCCGTCTCTGCAAGTTCTTGATGTTCGCAACAATACTCTCTCTGGGAATGTGCCGCCTGGTAATAATGATATTCTATAGCATTGTCAAGATTTTATCCCTTTGATGCTTTCATTTATCCTTGGAGAAGACTTTCCTAAAGATCTTTCACCGGTTTGCCTGTGATCTTTCCTATAAAAATACATCACGTGAACAGCTTTTACAATTAACTTAACACAGTGGTGGTAGATAATGGCAAAAAACTGCACTTAGTTTTGTTTTTTTCCTTCCTTTTCGGTCTTTGTTCATTTCAAATAATCAATCTAAATTCTATTATTTGCTTTTCACTGGTTGATTGAAGTTCTGAAGAGGCTTGAAGATAAATTCTTGTATGAATACAATCTGGGATTATGTGGAACTGGGTTTTCATCCCTGAAGACTTGCACTGAAACTGATCATGTTGATCCTAGTAAGCCTGATCAACCGTATGGAGCTGGTATTAACGGTCACCCGACAAGGGACATTCCAGAAACTGCAAATGTTCGGTTGCCCTGCGATGGAACTCGGTGCCAGAAGTCATCGAAATCGAAACAGACAACATCTGTAACTGTTGGCATAGTTGTGATTGCCATAGCAGTGTCAGCAGTTGGCGTTCTAACCTTTGTACATTATCGTCGGAGAAAACAGAAGCTTGGAAACTCCTATGATGTCTCTGACAGCCGTCTAAGTACTGATCAAGCTAAGGCTATCACATACAGAAAAAATGGTTCTCCTCTAATCAGCCTTGAGTACTCCAATGGATGGGACCCTTTGGCTGATAGCAGGAACTTCAATGGGGATAGCCAAGACATGTTCCAAAGTTTCAGGTTCAACCTGGAAGAGGTCGAAACTGCAACTCAATATTTCTCAGACTCAAATCTGTTAGGTAAGAGTAACTTCAGTGCAACTTATAAAGGAGTGTTAAGAGACGGGTCTGTAGTTGCAGTGAAGAGCATCAGCAAAAGTAGCTGCAAGTCTGATGAAGCCGAGTTTCTGAAGGGATTGAACATTTTGACATCACTTAGGAATGAGAATCTAGTGAGGCTCAGGGGTTTTTGTTGTTCTAGGGGACGAGGCGAATGCTTTCTTGTTTATGATTTTGTTCCTAATGGAAATCTTTCCCGATACCTCGATGTAAAAGAAGGTGATGGAGAAGTCCTTGAATGGTCAACCAGAGTTTCCATTGTGAAAGGGATTGCTAAAGGTCAGCCTTCTTCCTCTACCTCTCAATCTTAACTGCTTTTCTGTGATTTCTGCAACATTAATGTTCAACTCGCTTCTTTGTATCATATTGGGTTAAGGTGGAAATCTACTCGTGAAGTATTTCCCCATTCAAATCTAACATCATAAAATTTCCTTATATGCAGCAGTACTCATGAGTGTTTCCAAATGGAGCATAAATGCCATATCTGTTAAGTATAGCTAACATCCGTTATTTTATGATACCCGGACACCAAGTGGGCCGATCACACTAAAGTAACAGATGCATGTATCGGTAATAGATGTGGCATTTTTGCTTCATTTGCTAACGTTCATGTGTATTGTTGTATTAAAAAAAATAACTTTATGATATCAAATGCACATGGGAAAACAGTTCATGATAGATTTACACCTTAAACCCTATCAATATAATCATCTTGACGTTGAAGTGACCATTTTGACACTGAATTTGAGTAAAGAGATGCATTCTCATGCTTTTGAATCTTGATGATGTCTCTGCTGCGCAGGTATTGCACATTTACATGCACACAAAGCCAACAAACCTGCTCTTGTTCACCAAAACATCTCAGCTGAGAAAGTGCTCATTGATCAGAGATTCAGTCCATTGCTTTTGGATTCCGGCCTCTGCAAGATTCTCACCAATGACATTGTCTTTTCGGCGCTCAAGGCTAGCGCGGCAAAGGGCTATCTAGCTCCGGAGTACACAACCACTGGCCGGTTCACTGAGAAAAGTGATGTGTATGCTTTTGGGGTGCTTCTATTCCAGATCCTCTCTGGAAAGCGGAAGATCACAAACACAATGCGCCTCTTAGCAGAATCGTCAAGGTTCTTAGAAGTTATGGACCCAAATCTGCATGGCAAGTTCTTTGAATTCGAGGCGGCTAAATTGTTGAAGATGGCTCTGGTTTGCTCCCACGAGTCTCCTTTTGAGAGGCCATCCATGGAAGCTATTGTTCAAGAACTGAGCAAGTGTAGTAGCTGTCTGTGATTTCAGTTTAACTCAGTATTCACCGAATTTAACTGCCACTAACTGCCAATGGTGGATGACCATTTTGAGCTCAATTTGGCTCTTAGCTTTCATGTTGATCTGTAGGAAAGTATGTCGTAAGCTTTAGATAAGCGTTGTCACGAGCTTCTTCGTCTCTGATCAACTGTAATTTTGTTGAATATATTCTCTCTAAGGTGAAGCTTCTTTCAATTTTCAATCTATCGCTTTTCAATCAGATTAGTTGATTATTATTTTTCTTTGTTTGTTTGTTTTTTTTTGGACTGAGTGATTATTTGTTTACAGACTTGAAATTAATGAGTAATTAAGTTATAAATGGGTTAAAAGTTGAAAAACTGAGTCATCGCAAGTTATAATTAAGAAATTGAATTATAACTTAGTCAAAAGTTGAAGAATTAAATGATTGATTTTTTTCTTTATTTAATAAATAAGTGCTCTGGGAAACTAAACAAATAAACCAGTACCGTACCATTATTGAAATCTAAATCTTGAGTCATGCTTGTTTGTACTTATTCAATTAGATCTAGGATGTCAAATGCAAATTTGGCAGAGGCAGAGCTAGTTAACAGTGGAAATCCACGTGAATGACGAAGCATGCAAAATTGACATAATGAAATGACAACTGAGATTTTGCGATAATTATGATCTTTGCTAAATAAATTAGAAATCTCGTTATTATAGCACTAAAACTGATAGAAACTTTCAAATTTTTGAGAAGTTAGTGTTGGGATTTTGACAAAAAGAGATTGTGAGACTAGAATGAAGTGCATTACTACTTCTAGCACTTAGCTAGGAAACCAATTTGGAAATATTAAAAAAAAAAATTCAGTTAAGATGATTATTTGTAATAGTGTATGTTTGTCTTCTTAAACTATTCTACTTAATTATATGCATTGAAACAACTTTTGATGGGAACCCTTATAATTAATAGAAATATCTTGAGGGGAAATTATAAAATTTGGAGACAAAGTACATTGAAATCTTGTATTTAAGACTATGAGTGTATTGTTAGGAAATAATCTTTTTACCAATAAGATTTAGTTCAATTGGTAACGAGTAGGTTCATACCTACAAGGTTGAGTTTGATTGTTGATAGGTGATCTGTAAGTACCTCTGTAAATACATTTTAAGCTTGGAGGCATATCTTAATCCTAATGAGCCCCATGACCCAACTTACCTAAAGTTTTTTGTTAAAAAAAAAGAGGAAATAATCTTTTTGGGTCTGTTATTCTGTAGCTAGGACTGGCTTTGCTATATAAACAAGACATTGAGTTAGTGATAGAGATGGTGTGAAAATGTGACTATATATCTTTTTTTTTTTTAACCACAAAACAATTTTATTCAAAGTACTGTTGGTATTAAATGTAAACAATTCTTTCAACAAGCATTTAAATTTTGATTCGTTGGTCCTTTTTACAAATCCCAACTTGTGATCATATCTCCTAAATCTACTTGGAATGTACGTCGGCTGACGGCGATAGTAGTGACCATTGTTTCAACGATCCTCTTGTTTGGAATAAGGATGAAGGTATGTTGGTGATGGTAGGAAAAATTCTAGCAGAGAAGGAGAGTAGCAGAGCTGCAGTTGTGACTGTTGTTCGTAAGGCTTGGAATCTTCAAACTGGTTTAGATGTTACTGCTATTGCGAAGAATGCCTTCTTGTTTAAGTTTGATGAAGAAGAGGAGTTTAATAGGATCTTGCGAGGTTGGCCATGGTCGATCAATGGACAGATGCTGAATTTGCTGGAATGGAAGAAATTCATGGCGATTGAGGAATGCGATTTCAGTAGATGTCCGATTTGGATTCAGTTACATGGTGTTCCTCTTGAGGCGATCTGTTTAGCTAATGCGACTAGCATGGGAAGTAAAATTGGCGATGTTGTGATGGCGGAGGATCCAAAGTATAACAACTGTATGCTTCGAAGCTTTGTCCGTGTCGGATAGTTCTGGATCTAAGGAAGCCTTTGGTTTTGGGTTTTTGGATTACTAAACCTGATAGTGAACAGGCCTGGATATTAGTACGCTACGAGAAGCTGCAGGACTTCTGCTATAAATGTGGCTTGGTTGGGCATAATTTTCGTACCTGTGTGCATCCTCGACTAATAGCAATCAAGAATCCAGGATTGCCACGATATGGCAATTGGATTTCTACTGAACAGGTCAAAACATGGGAGGAATCTGTCGTTGTGATAAGAGAAGGGTGGAAAGAAGTTAATGAGAGGTGGCGGAGGATGAAGGAGGAAGGTAGGGTGAGGAGAAGCTCTGAACAAATTGATAGCAATGACATTTTTGCTATTGAATTTGTAAGGAAGAGCAATAGTAGAAGAATAAACAATGAACGTAGTTGGAGGGAAGATAAGGAGCTGAAGAATAAAAAAGAGGAATTTGAGGAAGTAGCCTTGAATGAGGAAAGTTTAAACTCTAAGGCAGAGCACACGAGTCCAGTAAAGGTGAATATTAATGATGCTGGGCCAAGTGGACTCAAGAGTAATAATGTTGATATTGTAGTTGAAGAAACGGATCCTACGGTTGCTGCAGAGTGTGGTTATAGAGTGGATCTACCCTCAGAAGAAGAGCCTGATAACCAGGCACTAGTGGTGTTTAATGGAAGGAATATTGTGGAGGTTACAGAAGAGGTTACTGAAAGTTTTTTTAACTTGAAACTAAAGCGTGATGCTGAAGAAGCTTTAGTGGCAAGTATATAGAAAAACCAAAGAATAGACAGTGAACAGAGCGAGATCCTGAATCCTATATCCCTATATTCTGAGAATCTAAGGAAGACCAAAGCTAGAGTCAGAAGGAATGCTAAGATGAAAAGTCAGTTGGCTCTTGTGAAGCAAGGTAATGAAGGAGGTGGGAAGAGGAGAGGTAGGAAGAGAATTATTGTTGAAGGCATGGGTGGCTGGCCTTTAACAGCCCCCATGGAGCCATGAGGATGCTATCCTGGAACTGTCAAGGTTTGGGGGTTGCCTTGACAGTCAAGAATTTAAAAGAATGTAACAATAAATATAAACCCTCAATTGTTTTCTTAATGGAAACAAGAATGTTTGGAAGAAGAATGAAGAGAATAAAAAGAGCTTGTGGGCTTGATAATGAATTCTTTGTGGATCCTGTAGGAAGGTCAGGAGGCTTGGCTTTATGGTGGCAGGAAGGTGTTAAGCTAGAGGTACTTCAATCAAAGAATTTGATCCATGTTAAACTGCCCTATACTATTCTTAGTGTACCAGACTATGCCACTTTTGTCTATGGTGCACCTAGAGAAAGTGATCGAGAGATTGTATGGAGGAGACTGAGATCTTTGGCAAGGGGTGTGGTGGGATCATGGATTTGTGTTGGTGATTTTAATGAGCTTGGATCCCAGTCTGAAAAGGAGGGAGGTAAGCCGGTTTCTCTCAGGAAAATTCTCAATTTTCAAAAGGTATTGGATGATTGTGGTTTGATTGACCTTGAATTTAAAGGTGCAAGGTTTACTTGGAATAATAAGAGGATGGGAGGAGATAATATTCGAGAGAGAATTGATAAAGGATTCGGAAATGTCGAGTTTCGAACCTCCTTTAGCAAAGCACTTGTCCTTCACACTGAACCTATAGGCTCTGATCATCACCTCTTGATAGTTAACTGCTGTTATCAGGAGGAAAGAGTGCCAAGAATGTTCAAATTTAATGCTATGTGGATAGAGCATAATCAATTCTCTAATACTATTGCTAGTGGCTGGCCGAATGATGTTGCTTTCTTTGGTAATGGAATCGATGATTTTACTCAAAGATTGACCAGATGCAAAAGGATTCTCTTAGAATGGAGTAGAAGAGAATTTTTGAATAATAAAAAAGTCATTGAAGATCTGAGGAGTAAGTTGGAGGTTTGTTATGAAGGTGAGTGGACAGAGAATAAAGCAGCTGAGGTTAGCCAGGTCTTGAAATGTATTGAAGAGGCGTGGAATCGTGAGGAAGTTTTTTGGTGGCAGAAGTCTAGATTAAATTGGATCAGATATGGTGATAGAAATACTAGCTTCTTTCATAGTACTGTGATCCAGCGTCGTTTGAGGAATAAAGTCCTTAAGTTGAAATCTGATGAGGGGGAATGGGTGGAGGATTCTGAGAAGATTAATGATATGTTTAATGCTTTCTATAACGACCTGTTCTCTTGTAAGGTAGCTGTGCAGATGGAAGAGGTTTTGGAATATGTACCTACTGTAATATCTAAGGAAGAGAATGAATCCCTGACTAAACAAGTCTCAGATCTTGAAATTGAGGAAGCAGTTTTTGATCTAGGGGCAACAAAAGCTCCTGGGCCTGATGGCTTTACTACCTTGTTCTATCAGTCTTCTTGGATGGAAATAAAAAAGGAAGCCTGTAGCATAGTGAGATCTCTCTTTGATGGTCATTCTGATCTAAGGAAGATTAATTTGACTCACATTGTCCTTGCTCCAAAAGTTGATGAGCCTGAAGTGGTTAGCCATTTTTGACCAATAAGCCTCTGCAATGTATCTTATAAGATCATTGCAAAAATCCTAACTTCAAGAATGAGGCCTTTGATGTGTAAATACATCTCTGAACAGCAATGCGCCTTTATCCCGGGGAGATTGATTCAAGATAATGTGATTATAGCTCATGAAGCCTTCCAATTTCTTAAGAGAAGGAAGAAAGGAAGGAGGAATGACTTGGCTTTGAAGATAGACCTTAGCAAAGCTTATGACCGTGTTGATTGGATATTTTTAATGGAAGCTATGCTGAAAATGGGCTTTTCCATTTAGTGGGTTAGGTGGATAATGGAGTGTGTAACTTCTGTTGACTTTGAGTTGCTAGTTTCTGGGAAGAAAGTGGCAAAAATAAAACATGGGAGAGGAATTAGGCAAGGAGATCCATTGTCCCCGTATCTGTTCATCATAGTAGCTGATGTATTATCGTTGATGGTGCAGAAGCATGTAGCCTGTGGGGATCTGAAGGGTATTCGCTTATCAAGAGGGGGGCCCATTCTTTCTCACTGTTTTTTTTGCTGATGATGCTTTGTTTTTCCTTAGAGCTCAAAAAGAAAATTGTATGGTGATGAAGAAGATCCTTGAGACCTTTAGTGCAGCATCTGGGTAAGAGATGAATCTTGATAAATCTTGCATATTCTTCTCAACAAACACTAGTCCTGATTCCAGAAGTGAAATTGAGAATGCTTTGGGCATTAAAGCTGTGGTGGAGCCG